AAGAGGAATGTGCCAATGTTGAGTTTTACTATAAATATCAACTGACTGATGTATATCTTCTCAAATGGAAAATGTTTAGTGCAACACAAAGTGTTTTTTTTCTTTTAATAGCCATGTTGTTTAGTTACCATCTTGATATAAAAAGTTGGTCCACAAACATCCAGCAACTTTCTACTCACAGACTTGGGCGCACCCACTTATTAAACATTTACTTTAGAAGAAAGTTCTAATTTTTGTTGTTGGGAATAGACAAAGTATCAGATCAACAAAAACTGGAAACTGTTCAAACCAAAGGTAGGATTAGACACGTAATATTTTTCTTTTCTTTGCGTTGTTAAAAATATTGTGCATTTAAATGGCTGCCTAAACTGGTAAAAAAAAGAAAAAAAAATCACTCTAAAATTACTTTTTCCTTTTTAATTGGGGGGAAAAAAACCCATGAGTTTTTTTTTAACAGGCTGATTTTGACCTGATGTCTGACTGCTGTTAAACACTGACATATGAATAACAAATACAATTTACACTGTTTAAAAGAACTCAGTGTCTTGTATTACTATTAAAATGGAAATCCTGTTCATTTATGATTATTGGCTTAGGTTAAATGGTTAGACTATCTCCTGCTTAAGGTTATATATTTCTATTGTATTGTCTGAGTGAATATTAAGATTTAAGTTTCTTATAACGTCAGTGAAACCCTCTTTTAGATTTTAAGATACATTGTTGCTCCAGAATGTCTGATCCCAAAGGATTAATTTACTTAAACATTTTCATTTAAATTAAAGATGAAGATTTAGCAATTTCAGAAAGAGGAAGGATGTAAGGGTCAGTAAATGCTGACTTGTGAAAAATCATCATTGTCAGCACTGACCTGACACTGTTTCAAATGAAAGACAATATAATTGAGCTACTGTAGACATGTACTTTTTATTTTGTATGTTTTATGTGATGAATTACACCAAGTTTAGAATAATGCTGTGACTAATACAGAAGAGGTGTTTGGTTATCTGTACACTGGAACATTGGATTGACATGGACAATTGTTCAACTTGTGAAATAAGAATTTGACAAATTTCTTAGTAAAACTTTTCCAAAATGATTACCTAATATACATGCGAAGAAATCAAAGAAAATAACAGGGAATAAGCATTAGTCACACGAAGAAAAAGAGGTGCAAAAAAGCATAGAAAACTAAGAAAACATTTAAAATCTATATGGTTAGAAAACTAACCTGTTACAATTTAGTGCCAATTAGTCCTGATCAATAGACTGTAGAAAACTTTGTCATTACCAAGGATTTAGACAAGAAGCAGGTAACGATGGGTAAAAGCAAATAATGTCAAAATCTTTCCAAAAGAATACTGTTGCAAAACCTTTGTTTTTGTTTTAGCATTGCTAAAGATTCTCAAATAGATTTAGATCTGTACTTGGACCTGAATATGTCTTGATTTACACAGCTCCATTGTCGCTTTCTGCTTCAATCATTAATATAGACCATACATGGCGTTATTGTTATCTTGCAATAAAGGGGAATGAAGAATAATCATAATCAAAAACCAAACTTTACTCTTGATATTAAACATACAAGTCAAAAGATTACATGACATTGAAACAGAAACCTCTGGAATAAAATTTGAAGTGATAGCAATACAGTTTCAATTGTATAACAATGATGGCACCTAGCATGAATGTATGAGATCTGCAAGCCTGTCAGTTTCTAACAGCTACAAACTTTTATGTAAAATAATACTGGTGAATAATCAATTACAGACATTTTTATCTGTTATAAAACCTGTAAAATCTGCAGGTCAGCTATGGACTCCTAAAAAATTACATGGTTTTAAAATCCACAGATCAATAAAGGTAACTTGATAAAAATATATAAAAGCACTTGTATGTAAAAAGATTATACAAAGCTACTGAAGTCCTGCATACAGATCAACGTTAATAACTATTAAGTATTTCAAAACAAAAAATGTTGAAAATTCAGATACTTGATATACCCTGCATGGAAAAAATATGTATGCAAGACAGAAAATTAAGCAATAATACGCTTAACAGTGTGGTCTAGCTAACTTTATGATATATAAAAAGTATTGAAAAACTCAATTATAAAAACCAAAGTTAATAGAATTGAAGGTGAGCAACAAATCCCTGAAATATTGAGCAAGGAGTATAGGATTTTGATTCCCATTTCATTTATTGATTTCTAATCGTTTTCAATGTTCTTATCTCCATCCATTTTCCTAAAAGACATCCTACACATATTCCTCCAGTAATCCTGGAGATCTTTCGCAAAGTAAAAAGGATTTTTTTTTTTTCCACTTTGAGACATGTAAATTTGCCTGAGGTGACATTTACACAGAAACCTGCTGCTCATCTTCCGAAGCAATTACGGTGGTGTAAAAAGGAGCAGACGTGTCCTCCGGTTCGTTCTCTGCGATGGGGATAGAGCAGTCGGTTTGATCCGTGGCGGTGGTGAGGCGAGAGCAGTCAGAGCCATTGCTGTCGGACCGAGAGACCGGCTGGTACTCGCGCACGGTGCAGGCACGCTCATTGAAGTTGGTGTTAAACCTCTCTTTAACAAGGCCTTTAGAGAAATGAAACCAATCCTAAAGGAAGAGAAAAAAAATCAGTTTTCTTATATTCCCATTTATTTTTGCAAAGCAAATGCATCAAACATCCAACTTCACCACTGGTTCAACAGTACAGTTTGTATTTATTAAAAACAATATCCCAGATCCAAAACATAAGCTTTAGACCTTTAAACCTGGAAAATGCATCAAGTGCCACTTTTCAAACTGAAAGGTTTTGTCCAAAATGAGATGTATCTGAAATAGCTGAATGCTGAAGACATGACTGCTTAAGTTTTCTACATAAATAAATCCACTTTATTCTTGACAAAGCACTGTATGGGTAAACTTTCCTCTGAAGCTGCTGAATATCAGATTCGTCAGACTGTTACAAAGACATTAAAGTAGTACAAAGCAAAGAAGTCAAAGAAAAAGTAGAATCGCTCAAAATCAAAACCAAAACCAAATTAGTTATCCTTAGGAGATATTAGGAGTAGTGTGGTTATGCATGTTTATCTTAATAAATTTTAAAAATAATTCTCTTAAGCTTAAAGATGCAGAACTTATAACTTGTAAAACTGAGCCTCGTTGGTAACTTCTATCAAGTTGGCATGCCAAATCTGACCGCTAGAGGGCACTCTGCTTTCAACAACAAGCGGAATGCAAACGTTTGGAAACAGCACCTGCTGCAGATGTAAACCGAGCATAACCAACACAGCCTCATGTATTTGGATTGTCAGATATAAACAGCAACAAATCTACCTCTAACCTTCTGAAGTCGACTGTTAGTTTCACATCGTCAAGTCTGAGTTTGGACCTCCAGAACTGAATAGCTGTGTTGCAAATTGAGTCTGATTCACAGAGAGTTGATTGAATGTAGCATCTGATGTTTAAGTGAAAGAGCAAAATCATATTTTTAAATGTTGTACCCAAGTCACAGACTTTTGTGAGTCCCGATTGGTTGAAAACAGTTATTCTGTCTGGATAAGAGATTCCTTATTCTCATCATTCAAATTTAAGATGTAGGCTGTAAAAAAATTGAGAGTGAAGCCTGTATAATGATCTTTACTCAGGTAAATATGCCACAAACACTTTTATCATCCAGTCAAACTATGATCATTTAAGAGAGCTAAAACTTTACGTAACCCTGTCCAATTAAAATTTAAATATATTCTGAGACTCCATTGAAGATGTGCACTGCTGTAGAATCAACACAAATGTCTAATCAAATGTTACAACAATAATTAATCACATGCTCAATGACTTAGTGACATCAGCACTCCAAGTATTTTAAGCAGCTCCAACTAAGGACAGCCTGAGCTATTTTCTAATTTAACTGATATTTTTTGACCACTAAGTTTTCCTCTCCAGATGATTGGTTGGTCCTCAAATATGAAAAAAAAGGAAGAAAAATTAGGATAGTGACATCACAGTCCTGGCGCAGTTGAACACTGGGCATTTTGCCTCCTTAGTCCCAATACACAGAAGTTATTCAAAACAGATCTGCAGCATACCAGCATAATTCAGAGAGATGACAGGACTTGCATTCTGTGATGTTGCAAAAATGCATTTTCCCCCCTCAGGTTTAGACCAATGCAACACATGATTTAAATATAGAAAGATAGAAAACAGTAGGATGGCAGAAATAAGGCTCCAGATGCTACTAACCTCGACATCAGGAGAGTTCAGAGCTGGTTTGGGAAGTGGAGGAATCAGGATGATTTTGATCCTGTGTGAAAGTTGCAGACAGTCAAAATGTTTTTTTTAATAACCAAAACAACATACATCATATTCTTATTGACAGAGGTTGGTTTCTTAAAAAAAGGACCTGAGTTTTATTGTCTCAGACAGAATATGGCACATAGAACTTGAAATAAATAAGAATCTGAATGTTTTTCTCTATTTGACAAGCATTTTTATAGTGAAGTAGTAGCATTCACTTAACCTCATTCTAGAATACTAACATCCTGCACTTTAACAAAAATCACCTGCCATAATTTATTTCTAGATTTCCAATAAGGTTCTGCGGTCAAGTCACAGGTGTCAGGTTGAAAAAGCAAAAGAGGAAGGTACAGTAAAAAAAGCATAAAGCAAGTGAAACTTTGTAACTTCAAAAAGATCATATTTCATTAATTAAAAAAAGAAAAAAGCTTCTCTGGAAATGCAATTCAATGGTGTGTGGTCTATGTCACAAGCTAATTTTGGAAAGTCATACAAAATTAGCAAATTATGAAATAATTATTTTAACATTTAAGAATAATTCTGCTCAACTTCACTGACCCAAAACGGGAAACATTTTCAATGACATTAACTAGTTTACACTTATTTAAAGTTAGAAAGTCAGGGAAACATGTTTAGCAATAGTGTCTGTAAACATTGTGCTTCAGTTGTATATAGATGGATGCATCGTGAATCCACACTTACTCTCAACCTGGAAAAGACTTATGTAGTGTAGAAAATAGGAAATGGGAATTTTGATGTGGTTGTGACATAAAATAAAGAGTCGTGTCCAGGAAAAAAAAAAAAAAAAAAAAAAAAAAAAAAAAAAAAAAAAAAAAAAAAGGGGGAAGAAAAAAAAAAAAAAAAAAAAAAAAAATAAATAGAAACAAT